TTTACCATCTTCTTGTTTCAACGAAATTAAATCCTTGAAGCCAGGCATAAGTCGACTAACATCATCACGTACATAACAATTTTTAACTAAATTTTCCGTTTCGAGAGGAAGTACTTTTTCGTTTTTTTTTTGGGAGCTGTTAATATGCCGCTTTCAGATAATCAAGTTGTAGCTTGCCTTGCTTCTCGTTCTGTACAGTTAAATTCTCTTATCATGTCATTACGGCTCCAGAATCTCGGAGACAGAGAAGGGACAAAATTATTTCACCTCTACTACTTGAAAGAGCAAACTTTTCTTTGATTTGATCAAAGACAGCGACACCAGCTTTATGATAGCTTTTATCGCAAGTTGCTTCAATTTTTGCTTTTTTGTTCTTAGGACGGGAATCAGAATTTTGTGGTTTCAATTTGTAAATTTGAAATCTGCACTTCGTACAAATTTTTGATCCATCACAAACAGCAGGGTATGTCTCTCAAAAATCAGTTGGAAAGTTTAACAAATTCTTGAATACACTGCTGTGATTGAACAACCCCAAGGAATTACAGCATCGAGACGAGAAAGCCATTGTCAAAGCAAGCAAAAAGCATACGATTTTTCAATTGAGTAGACACGACGACGTACTTTAATTTCACCCTAAGTTAGGCCTCACCTACGTAAAAAGAATCGAATTAAAATATTGTCAACTATCTAAAAAATATCCTTCATAAGCGTTGCAGCAAAATAACGTTCGGCAAGTAAAATCATTAGCTCACATGACATCTTCTGCGTGCATAATAACGTATTTGGTTATCAGTCAATGGAACCTCGAAAACGAGCAATAAATTTATAACACAGCTCAAATACTGCTCCATTTAAGATAAACTATCAATCTGTCAATTCCTTTTAACTTATGTGTCATAAAAAAAATTTTTTATTTATAAATACACTTAACAAGAAAAGTATGCGATCCAACCGTCCATCGAAAGTTGAATCAAAACAGCGCAACCTAACTATGTTCGCTTGGCGATATATATTTAGCATACTATCGCGCAAGTCGAGCAGCCGCTGCCGCTGTGTTGTTGCGCCCAACTTTGTCATTTAATATCTCGCCAAAATGAAAAAAGTACTCTCTTGAAACCGCCATACCGACGTAAGAAATCCTGTTCTTTCGATTGGCGATGGTTAAAAAAATATTAAAAATGCCGTTTTTAAGAAATAACACATTTTGTGTTTTTTCTAGGTTAAATCGTCATTTTTTCAAAAAACCGATTGCATCACCGAAAAGCTGAGGGAAAAACACGTCGATCCTATGTTTTCATTACTTTTTCTCAGTTATTTACAAAACCGCAATCACGAGTTGAAAAGTACATGTTTTGGTGCTCGCGGATCGCGGTAGGACAGTTGACGTGAAATGCCTCATATATTATGATATTATTAAATCGATGACTGTATATTAATACGAAATCTTTTTATGTAAGGGCGCTTTTTATAGTCACGTGAAAAGTTTTTCTTGGCGTGATAGTTAAAAAAGATGTTACAAAAATGTACATAAAAAAAAATTAATAATGTAAAAAATACTTCTTATCAATAAAGGTTATTTAAGTATTTTGAACTGTTAATTGATGTAATTTAATCTTCAAGTTATTAAAATATCTTACAAACTACTTTTTTAATGTGAAGGTATGGTTTAGTTACGGAGGGTTGCCGTAAACAGCGCCCGAGGGGGCATATAAATGTACATAACAGATGGCCTATGCAAAATAAAGAAACTGCAGGATTTTTCTGTAGACAGTACCTTAATTAATCTGATTTTACATTACATTTAATTTTCATAGAGTTTTGTTAGCGTGTAAGAAACTTTACCAACAATACGTTTTTTAGTTCGGGGGACTGGCATCACCATTGATTGAATGTTGCTTGGTTCCACGAACATAAATGCATTCTCAGCCTGCATTAATTAAATTATACAAGTATTGCAATTATTTCCATCTGATTACTTATACCACTAGAACCTAACTACATTACGTGAGTGGTGACATCAGCAAACTCATTGCCATTCCCATTTTAAAATACAATAATTTTAAAAACAAATAAAATTAAAAAAAAAAGAATTAAACTTAGAATGATAAAATTTTACAAATACATCCTTATCCTACAACATTAAAGATATATAATGCAGTACTAAAATAAGTAATGATACATAGACATACTTTACTCAATTCCATTAATTTGTACGCTATGAAATAAGGGAGTATGTACGTAAATATATATTGTGACATTATTTGACTCTCTGGCAGAACATCACTTCCTAAGTATTTCTGAGAAACGCCGTAGTTTCGCCAATTTTGTCAGATTCACTTTAACATATTTCTTTTGCCTACTTAACAATCAACCATATTATCTATGAAGGCTTAGTAAAGAAAATATGCAAAAAGTACTATTTTTATGCATAATATAAATTTTTTTATTGCTCTATTAAAGCAGTTCATTACGATGAATTTTATTTTGCAGTGAGTGTTCAATATTATGTCTTGTGTATTATGCATAAGCAAAGAATCTTCAAAACCTAGTTGATTAAAAAAATTTGCTTTCTACCTTTGTACCTTTCAAATGCGATAAAACTACGGCTTGGACATTTAATACTTTTTATCTAGTTTTTTCGCTAAACAGTCTTCGATATCAAAGGTTTCGTTAGATAGTGAATTACTTTTAACTATTACATTATCACATTATTATCAGTCCTGTTGTGGTGTACGGAGCTGATCTTTGTACTATTTAAAAGATGTATGGATGTGCTGACTGCTTCGCCCAAATTTATTTCAGTAAATATCTAGATTTATGCATAGTGCAGGCTGCTTTTCCGATTGGTCTGTTCTTCCTTTTAGCTTTCTCAGCTTCCACGCCCACTATTAACTGGTCTCTTGATAATTAACGTTATTTGAGCATTCAATAATGAGGTAACGCATTTGTTAAACAATAAGAATTTGACGTAAGTAACCAGAAAAAGCAAGACCTACGGTAAATGTACCAAATACTTGGCTACCTCCATAGGCCAATTTTCACCGTATCGTGTCTGATGTTCACTACAAGACTCATCTATGTATCAGAGGTTTCATGAAGATAAAAGTACTGGACTGCACTGAAACCCTCACGTCAGTAGTGCGATATGATTCTCTGCGAATGCTGTTGGCCCACGCCACTTTCCACGATTGGAAAATAACTACCTTCAACGTCAAGTCTACGTTTTTATACGGTGATCTGGAACAAAAGATTCTCATGAAGTTACCAAAAGGTGTGTGCGTATGCGAAAGAGTTCTGGTATGAGTAAAAAACTATGTTATGTGTGCAACGATGGGAGTAAGTTTAAAAGTGAAATAGAGTGCAAATTGAAAAAATCACTATACGGGCTCAAGCAAGTGCCTCGTTGCTGAAATGTAGAATTAAAGCTTTTTGTGTGCCTCTTTAATTTTAAGAAAAGTGATGCCGACAACTATATTATTACTGGCAAGTGCAATGATTATACAGAGCACTTAGCCCTATTTGTTGATGATGGGATTTGAGTTTGTAAGTCAACAAAAATGTTCAAATGTATTTAACTGCGTAATAGTTAGAAAATATTTTCCACACACCTCTTCCGCACACTATGTGGGAAAATCCATGTTCCACACTAATATCAGTGTGGAGAACACCTATTTTCTGCACACTATTGCGAAAAAATTTTTTTAATAACTGTAGGTGACTCTAGCTATTTTGCTGGCTTAGAAACTAATTTTTATATGTGACTGCTGATGCTGATATACGTTTGCAAACGGTAGATAGGAGTGCTTATAAGCTGCGACCACCTTATCGAAAAGCTATAGGCTCCCTTAGTTATTATGCCATGGCTACAAGACCCAAAATTGCCCATATAGTTAACTTCCTCAATAGATTTCGAACTGCACAGACAACAGCTAGTGGTAGGCGATTAAGCGAATCTTGGCTTATTTGATGGGTACAGTGAACCTGTGCTTGTATAATTTGTAGGGTATTCTGATTTATACTTTGCCGGTTGCCTAAATACCAGAAGATCAATCAGCGACTATATTTTTATAATGGCTGGAACTGCAGTTCTGTCGAGTGTAAGACACTAAAAGTCGGAGTAGTTTGCTGCCAACACAGCTACCTACAAGTCAATGTGGCTCAAAAAATTGCTACAAAATCTCGAATATCAATGTGATTCAGTATCTTACTGCACGTTGACAATGAAAAAACTATACATTTAACAACAAATTTAATCGATCATCGTAAAACAACACGCATTGATGTATAATACAATTTTATCAAAGAAAGAAAGCAATGTGGCAATACACATGTAGAATATAATCCATCAAAAAAGTAAAAAGCTCTTATCAGTTTGTTAGTGTGGGACGTACCTCTACATGTGTAATCAACAATTTATAAAGCTTTTTTGTATCATTAATGCTTCATCCCAAACAATAATATCAGTCTCACATTTTTTTAAATCTCATTTTTTATTACCAATTCAGCTGAATTTAGAAACTTGTTACTGTGGGATGGTGTTATTCGTTCAAAAAATACTGGATACACTGGAATTACGTTACACTAAAGATAAGCTTAATCTGTATTTAAATTATTTTCACAGTTACATATGTTTTTATAATGCGCACAGCTGCATATGGTTGGTCTGTTGGTCACTATTTTTTCAAAGTGCGTTCATATAACGTTTTTTTTATTTATTGTGCGTAACAATGCCATAACTACCAGGGATTTAAAGTTTATTTGCATGATTATTGGTAAAATTTAATTGGGGATTAGCAGGGAGTACGCAAACGGGTGGGGCCTCACTAGTATGTATATAAATAGTTTCTACAGCTAAAAAATATCGAGAAAAATAAAAAGCAATTATCTAATGCACGCTTACTATTTTTTTCTCACACAATGCTAAAATTAACAGAATTAAATTTTTTCACAAACAATCAGAATTTTTTACGTTGACATACAATAAGTAGTTTATTACTTACCTCAAAAACTGATCACTCGTTGTGCCTGAATGCATAAACGCATTAGCAATAACAGTTGCAGTGTGGCAAATAGATACTCTTATAGCATCTTTCGTATTTTTTAAGATAAGCATATCAGTATGATTACTCCTGATCAGAAATTGTAAATGCAAATCAATGGTTATTTCACCTCCCAAGATCTTTGACAACGCATCAATTCTTTTCTGTTGTTCTTTTTCTTCAGAATTCTGAAAATTAAATTCAATACATATTCATTCGATCATAATGAAGTAAAATACTATTATCAAATATAAAGAGCACTTTACACTTTCAGTGAGAATTGTAGTCAAATTCGAAATAGTTATTTACGTCACAAATGCGGAAAAGACGATTTCCCGCACGAGTCTATCACACGAGTGCGGGAAAACGTCCCGCACGAGTTGCGTACAAGTTTTTTCGCAGTAAGTGTGCCAAAAATAGGTGTTTTCCGCACTGATATTAGTGTAAAAAATCGATTTTCCCACATAGTGTGCGGAAAACCTTTGCCGCACACTATGCGAAAAATATATACAGAACACCTTTCCCGCACACTATGTGGGAAAATCAATTTTTCACACTAATATCAGTGCAGAAAATACCTATTTTCCGCACACTATTGCGAAATAGTAGTTTTCCTACGAGTTTGAAAAGTCTCTGTTTGCGAACCGAGAGGTTTACGGCCCGAGCCGAAGGCGAAGGACGTAACGAGGTTCGTAAAGGAGACTTTTCGAACGAGTTCCGGAAAACTGCTTTTTCACCCGAGGAAGTAGCAGTCTCCTAAAACCACCCGAGGGCGGAAAAATATTATATTAGAGATATTTTTTTGACTAACAAATGAATAAATAAAATTTGAACCTTCAATTCGAAAAGCTTATCTAAGCGTTAATGTATCAATAAATGTTAAATATTTAAATCAATATTCAACAAAAAGTGACACATACCATAGGTTGTTCCTTCACCGTGAGAACATAATAAATTCGATACTTGCGTAAATAATTTTCAAGTCAAAAAATAATTTAGATTAGGTTAATAACACTTTTTAAATAATCAAGTAAGTAAAGAGTAAAAAAGAAACAAGATGGAAGACAAATAAGGAATTCAGTAAATGCAATTTTTTCCTGATTCAAGTAACGTAGTATATAACTGAATTTTCACTAATCTAATAATAATTAAAAAATGGTTGTATAAGTAACCAAGACTACTTCTACATAACGAACACACAGTAAATAATCTAATTAACTATTTAGATACTCTTAATAACTTTGATATGAAGTATACATTAAAGTTATTCTAAACACAAATGCTTAACCCTGCTAAGTAAGAATCATAGAATCATTATGTTTTCATTTTAACCCTCGAACAGCTAATTTACATACCAAATGCTATAAAAAAAAAACTATCATAGCATAGATTCTAATTCTTAGAGGCCATAAATGCTTTAAAAATTTTTTTTATAATATTCACTGAATTACAGCTGGAATGTGGTGAAACATTGTTGATATATAAGATATACATAAATGCATATATAATTAATAAAATAGAATAAGCTTCTAAATATAACGAGCTTTGAACGAAATGTTATTAATAGTATTATTATTAATACGAAAAAGAGAAAAATTAAATTGATCGTTAGTTATATACTTATTTTGTTTCTGTCCTTTTACAATTTCTGTTGATTCTCACAAATTTAATGTTGCGTAAGTACATTGTGCATGAAGTTTACATTTTTTTCGTCTAAATCGTTAATTAGAACAGGTTGGAGGTTATGTTCAACGACGACTATAAGATTTATTATGTATTTCTTCAATAAATAGCCAGTTTCCTCTGAAAATATTCAATATGTGACACTTTTTGTCTTGTGATGATATTGGATAGAAGTGTTTAAGTATAAGTTTTGCGGATTTTTAAATTCGATCATCGTTTATAGTTTTATCGTAACCATTATCTATTGCTAAACGCTGTATCATTTGTACTACTTTATCATATCGTCCTTTTGTAAGGGTAGTGATGATAATTTAAGTAAAAATTAGTAATTTAAAACTAAAGGACTGACTTGAATCGTGCGGCACCAAAGAATGGCTGAAAGTTAGTTTTTAATAAAATAAACACAGTAACTCATCTTTATTCCGTATTACTTTTAAATTCAAAAATTTTAATTTTATTCAAACTGCGGTTTCAAACTACTATGATCATCAAAAAATTTTTTTATAGTTCTCTTTATTTACTCTTCAAATGCAGAGAATATAATCAGCGTACGATGTCCCCATTCAATTATGTTTCCTACTAAGGGTTGAAGTTGAAAATTAAATTCTTTACAAGTGACATAAATATTCAAATATTTCACTAAGGGGAGGGAAAAAGCCTTTCAGCAAACCCTTCAGTTATTTCTAAAATTAATTTTCGAAATTAGACTTACTAAGACTTAAGTATTTTATCAAGTTTTTTTGCAAGTCAGTATCTAGGTGCACTAGTATAGGAAAAAATGGATCTCACCTGTATATCTTAATTTATTTTTTGTCAAGTGTATAACCTTCAGCCGTAGGATTTACTACAGTTAATATGCATTTATTGTTATCCTTTAGTTTACTTTGCAGTTTTTTATGACATATGTAGTAGCTTTTTTAAAAGTTGCAAAAGGATCAGAACTTAAAAATTTCAATGTATCATTGTAAATTTGGGCTTTTAATTTCCTAATAAAGTCAATTTCTGTTAAAATTGTAACCGTAAAGCAAGATGCGTGATTTGTACGTAATTTCTTTTTCGTTCTCGATTAATACCTTGATACATGCATGCCTCAATAGTAATTAGGTGTTATTCTCTTATTCATTATAAGCTAAATCTGCATTCAGAAGAAAAATAAAATTCTTAGAGTTTTGAATATTAGGACAATATTTCAAACCTTTACTCGAAATAATTGTCTCTTTATGTGTCAGATTTCAGAGAAATTTATTTATTTCAGAAAAATTTATTTATTTCAGAGAAATCCATTCTTCAAGAAGGTTTCTCCAAAAGTTTATCTCGTTGAGCACTGTACAAGATCTAAATGTTAAATTAACTCACAGAACCGCTCCAGAAAAACCATCCTAACTCTTCTGGTAGGATGAAATCAAATCTAATAAAGTATTCAAAGGAATTACAAACAAAACTTGGATTGCTATCTTGTTCGTAGTTTATTAAAAAAAATCAAAAGTAAAATTTCATTTTAATTTATCAAATTTATATCCTTTTTTATTACTAAAACATCCAGACTTATAGCCAATCCCTACATTTCTGATAAAGAATTTCAAATGAGATGAAAATTCAGCACTTTGAACGGATTTAGAGGGTTAAAAAACGAAAAAATGCCTTAGAAGGTATCATAAAATTGATGCTACTCTTTTAAGTAGGGGGAGACTGGGTACGGTTGTGCCAATATTTACTCGATAGCCCGTAGCTTTAAAAATATGATACTTCGTGGGATGAAAATTGCTGGGCATGATAATATGAAGACTCCTCTACATGTGTGTACTAAAATTATGACTATAGGTACAGCCGTTCACACGTACGAGCTGTTAAAATATATATGTCACAACCTACCATACCTCAGGGGCGATGCCTGGGGACGGTTGTGACAGGTTAAAAAAAAAACATTAAAACCGTTTTAAATCACTTTTACTGTACCTTATGTTTGAAAGAATGTAACAGCACCTCTTTTTTAGAAAATTTAACATTGATTTTTAATTAAAGGCATCAAATTTAGAACATTTTTTGTCTTATTTCTACTTTTGAACAGTATCATTTATTATTACAGATATTATATACCTAAACTAAATATCCGCACAACGTGGTAAATATTTTGACAACCGCTGTTCTTGCTCCTTAGAAAAGACTTTGTTGTGAGCAACGCAATCTATATTGATGCTGTCTCCGTTAATGCCATTCGCATTGACTGCATCACGTTTACGAACGTATCGCAATAATGCAATGTGATTTACTTGATGCATTTCTGCAGCTTTTCGCGTACATAAATCCCCTGCTTTGTATTATTGTAGGCCTTTCAACATTACGCGCACCTCTTTCCATTCTCCTAGGACGTTTACGAGGCATCTGAAAAGAAATAAACTAATTTTACTTATGTCACAACTGTACCTACCGCACTCATTTGAAACAAAAAAAAAAACCACCATATAAACACAACATAGCTTACTTCAAAAGTAACGACTGCCTTTTATGCACTAATGTGTATCTTATAACGGGGAAAAATACTCACTGCTCGATCTGTACATATACAGCGATAATTGCAAAAAAAAAATTTAATGAAAATACTTACGTTTTACTCTTCAAAAGTAATGTAGGCCTCTGCTGTCATTGATATCACACGGCAGCTGATGCTATGCTGTGAAGCACAAGTGGCCCAGCGCTTCACTACTCCCCCTCTTGTATTTGGCGATTCTCTCTTACAGTTTCGCCAACGGGACCACTATCACAATCATCCTTTGGCACAATCGTACTCAGTCTCCCCCTATCAAAAAATGATTCTCCTAATCTCTCAGCCTGCTAACCTCAAAGTTGTGTCTTATAGGATAGAAGTAATGTTTTTTTTTTTTTTTTTTGGTAATAATTCCTAAGATTTTAATAATATATCCTTTAAAAATTAGATCAAAACAGTAGGTTAGCAGAAATATCCTGCAATGTTACTAGATTTTTGTAATAGCAAACAGAATATTTCAAAAAAATTATACTTTAAACACATCGTATGAAAATTAATGAAAGGAGAGCTAAGTAAAACTATTGTTACGTACTTGGTACAACTTCACCTTTCAGAATTCATTTAGAGTTTTGGAAGTAGAAAAAGAGACAAAAAATACAAGTAAAAAATAACTGTTATGTGACTTTCTTGGTCTAATTATTTTTCCAATACATATTTTAAATTTATAATTTATTGTAATGAACCAACTTTTTTTGTTCTAGTACTACTAATGTAGAAACTAAGTAACGAACATAATCTGTGTTTTTTTTGTACACAGAAATATTAATTTTTTTTCGATAATAGTATAAATAGTATGTAGATACTGAATATGCCCTCAAATTTCATGGGAACAAAACTTAGTACAGGAATCTGAGTTTTAAAGTTCTATTTTTATCTATGTGGTTACTTGTATACTGAGGTATTGATAATCTCATTGATAGCAATATTTTATTTTGCAACTGCTTTCAAAGCAATCTATCA